CAGCAGCAGCAGGGGCGTCGTCAACAGCGGCGGCGCGGGCGGCAGGAGGGCGCGCGCGAGGCGTCGCAGGGAGCAGGGGGCGCGGACGCCATCATATGGCTGGCGCGGCACGCAGACCCAGCGGTGGCGCGCTCTGCGGCGCTGGCGCGGGTCGACCGGCGAGGCGTCCTGCGGCCGGCGGCGCGGCCGGCGGCTGCGGCCGGGCTATTGAAGGACAGGGGCATGGCCTCGCAGATGGTGAGTGTCGGGTGGGGCCTTCTCCCTGCCATTGCACAGCAAACAACAACACACGTTTCGCTTGGGAGGCTCCGAGACCCGCGCTGCCAACTTTAGAGTTTATCAGGATCAGCCTGGATTGCTACCGCGGGCTGCTCTGGCTGTGCTGCAATGCTGCATCCACGAGCACCGACAGCCGTGTCCCTGCTTCTCAGTCTTGTCTCCAGCACGCTGCTGCACAGCGCCCCACATCAAACAAAGCCGAATCGCCGCATGTGCCTCACACCCCCAAACACCACTAGATGCAGCCCATATCTGTCACCACGCCGCCTGCCGGCCGCTACTCCGCGCGGGGCCGGCAACCGGCGGCGGGAGAGGAGGGCGGGGGCGAGGAGGGCGAGGAGGGCGAGGAGGGGCAGGAGGTGGAGGAGGTGGAGGAGGAGGGAGAGCATGAGGAGGAGGGAGAGCATGAAGAGGGGGAAGAGGACGTGTAGGAGGAGGGCAAAAGTGGTAATAAGACAGGGTGGATACGGAGCGACGCCGCCAGCAACAGCGGGCGGCAGTGCATGCAGCCGGCATGCACTCTGCACAGAAGGGGTGCGCCGGCGCAAGGGCGCAGCGCGTGCAGTTTGCTGTAGCACTACTGTGATCAAGTGCTGTGACTTGATGCAGGCACTGAGCCAAACACACTATTCATGAGCAGCACTCGCTCCTCATATTGCCCACCCGCTTCACGTACGATGCAGCCTTGTGTGTGATTGCGTGAGGCACATGCGTGGGTTTGTGATCCAAAACACCAAAGTTGCCTGTCCGGCGCCCCTGGTGTGCACCCCTCAACAACGAAGCTTATGAACTGTGCTGCTGCTGCTGCTGCTGCTGCTGCTGCTGCTGCTGCTGCTGCTGCTGCTGCTGCTGCTGCTGCTGCTTTATTCAACTAAAGCACTCATCAGAGACATTAAAAGGGCCAGCTTTTTTGTCAACAAAAAGCTCGTTACATCAAAAGTGATTGACATACCTTGTGCAAAGAAAATGCTGTGCAAACTTTGTGCAACCCTTCACACCCTCCGGCCTTATGAGGGTGGGGTTGGCAAGGGCGCGCCTACATCGGCCCTTGCTTGCGCTCGGCCGCCCGCAGCTCTTCAGCACCACTGCAGCATCCATTTGTAAAGAGCCAATGCTTGCGTTGCCAGCAAAAGTGTAGGTGCATCAACATGTGAAGCTCAACCAGCAAATGTTTGTTGTTAGACAGAGTATCGGCAGCGATTGGGCACCCTAGGAGTTAGTCACTATCTCTTAAGTCACCGTAATTTCAAGACTGAACAAGCCACCTGCTACGCAGGTCAACAGACGAAGCAGTACCAGATGTGACGCATGCAAGTGTGAATCGCAGCAGGCACCATTCCGCGATATGACGATGTCACACAGCCAATAATGAATCGAGCTAGCATCCCAGTCTAGTCTAAGCGTCAGCAGTAGAGGGGAATGGTGGACATAGGGTTTCCAGACCACATGACTCAAATGAAGAAATCGTGTGCAGAAGCAGCAACGACAATGCCATATACCGCCCCCACCGCCGCTGCGGCTGAAGCGACCAGCCAGAACACCACAAAGGCGGCATTGAACAGCCACTTGTGGCGGGGCATGCCCTCCTTGAATGCCATCATGTAGAGGTAGGTGGGCAGGGCGTAGGTTATGGGACCAAAGCCGACGGCGCCTGCGACAAGAAGCATGGGGGCAGGTTCTTTAGGGTGACTTTCTGCGACTACGACGTTGAGCTGCCGCCTGTGAACAGGGGTTGAATGATACATGCAAGGTGAGCTGAGCCGCACTCCACGTGCTGCTGGCGGGCACACCACTCTCAATCACAGGGTTCAGGGTTTAGTGCTCCGTGGAGCGCTCACACTGCACTGCTGGATCATGCTGCACCCGGCTCACCAAAAAAGCCCATGATCTGAGCAAAGAACGGCAGCGCCACCGCGAACGTCGACCAGAACGCCACCCACGCCGTCCGGTGCACCAACTGCAGCAGCCAGCTGGGCTGCGGCCGCTCCCCCTCCCCATCCTCCCCCTCCTCCTGACCCTCTGGCACATCCTCAATCACGATCGCCTCGGCAGCCGCGGCTGACGAGGCATCCTCCTTGCCTGCTGCCGGGTCGGCGGCGAGGCGCGCCTTGCCCTCGCGGCGGCGCGCGAGGTGGCCCGAGCGGAACCAGGGGGAGCGGGGGTGCTTGGCGACGATCATGCTCTCGAGGCGTGCAAACATAGGCAGGGCGTAGATCTGATTGGCCACCTGTTGGTCGCAGGTCAATTTGGTGGGGATGAGTTGGCTGGGGGAAATCTTTGGGATGAGTGCTCGACCGGGGCAGTTGGCGCTGGCCAGGATGAACGGGGTGACAGCGGGGTTGAGCAGGGGGTGGGAGTCGTGCCCTGTGAAGGGCACGCAGCGCAGGAGGGCGGCGCAGGCTGGCCGGTTCAGGGCCGCGAGGCCAAGGCCTACAGGGCTGCTGTGTCTGTACAGGGGGCCAACACTTCTAAAGCACGCAGTAACAGTGCAGCCTGCAGGCGCTTGCTGGCTGCTGCCTGCCACTCAACGTGCTCAATTCTATGGTGCAGCACCCCTCACCCAATCGCACCTGCAGCTGCAGCACCCCCAGGATGTTGCAGAAGGCCACGAGTGCAGCGGGCCGCGTCGTGGCAAACAGCAGAAACTCGTTCACAGAACTGGACAATGAGAGAGGAAGAGTGTGTATTGCGCGCGTGTGTGTGTGTGTGTGTGTGTGTGTGTGTGTGTGTGTGCGAGTGCACAAGCGCGCGTGCATACTGGTGGAGAGGTGTCAGCAACCTCCAGACTCGGTGCCCGAGAAGCAAGAATGACGGGATAATAACATTAAACCCTTGAAAACAAAAAGGGGCTCTTGTAGCCTGCCCTTTCGTTCACCCCATCCTGCCTCCCCCTACCCGACCGCAGACACGTATCCATCCAAAGGGACCACTCACTTTCCGTATGCCCAGTAGCCGACGCACCCCACCAGCAGGAACACGGGCACAAACACCAGGTGGGCGGCCACGGCCGCCCTGATCATGGTCGGAGTGGAGTTGCCCGTTTTTGGGTCGTCCTTCAGGACGGCCTGGATCTCGGGCAGCTGCGCAGCAGGTTCCCGGGACGCACGTGGGTGGGTCGGTCGGCAGTGGGTGGGCTGCAGGTGGCAGGTAGGTGTGTGGTGGTGCAGCGAACCGCCAGGGGCCCCCTTATTGCACGGCAATTCCCAGTCACTTGTGACAGGCCAGGCCCAAAGCCCCTGCCATTGGCGGCAAGCAGCGCACAGTGGGAAAGCGTGGCGGCGTGGCGCGGCCCCTCCCCTCTGCTGCAACGTATGAGGTTGGGCGCACGCGCTCACCACTGTCACGCCACTGCAGCACGGGATTACAGTACACACGAAGGGGTCAATGGAAGAAGGGGGCAGCCCAGAAGGTTGAAGGCGACCATGTGTGAGTGCTTGAAGGCGGTGGGTGCATGTAGCGCAAGGCAACGCCGGCGGGCAGGCAGCCTGGGGCACGGGGCCTGGCCCGGCCAGCAGCTCGTCGGTTCGGGTCGCTGAATCAAGTGTCTGCCGCTCACCCGAGGGGGAAGCGCCTGCTGTTGTGCCGCCATCATGCGTGCCAAGCCACGCGCGTCAACTAGCCACGCGCGAGCGACCCCTTGGCTGCCAACTGCAGCCGCCCGCCCACTCGCACGCGACGCGGGGGGGCGGCGCTCGGCCCTGTCCCCACCCCCATCACACTCCGAGCACCACTCACTACTGGAACAGCAGCATCCCGACGCCGTTTAGCGCGTTGAGCCATTTTGCTTCGACGCCGCCGGCAGCCGAGTAGTCGCGCGGCGCGCGCGCCGCCACGCCGTCGGCCGCGGACATCCCGACCGCAGAGGCGGAGTACACCAGGAACGCCACGCCGGCGGCCAGCCCTACGAGCTTCATTTTGCTCATGGAGCGGACGGCGACGACCAAGAACCAGCTAAAGGCGCCAGAGATGGCGGTCCAAGCGGCGAGGCTGGTGAAGCGGCAGGTGCTGGGGTCTGGGGATGTTGGCGCGGGGGATCCGAGCGCACATTCTGTTCATGTGCATGTGGCGTGTGTCTGTGTGTTCATGTGAGTGTGTCTCGGTGTGTTGATGTGAGTGTGTATGCACGTGTGTGTGCACGCTTGCTCGTGATGGGGATGCCGAGTGCGGCCGTTTCCACCGAAAGGCCCAGGCAGGGCCGATGCCGCTAGTGCCCCACGGCGCTGCCCCACCTGTGCAGAGGGAGGTGTAGACATCCTGCAGCATCTGTCCCCTGCAGGGTTGCGCGGGTGCAGGGAGGCCATCGGACGTCCACCCCCGCCGCGCCACGGGCAGCAGACGCCAGCGCTGCCCCTAATAGCCTGGCCTCTGAGGCTTGCGGCGATCACGTGCCGCGAGGGGCATAACAGGCGGCACGGCCGCGCCAGTGTTGGGGCGTGCGCGCTGCGCCACGCGGCGCCGCTCACGCTAAGATGGTGTTTGTGATGACAGCGCCCAGGTTTATGAAAAATTGCATGACCTCCACGGCCAGGCCGCCCCTGGGGCCCAGCACGGCGTCGCCCATGGATCGGTAGGTGGTCAGGCGGCGCCCCTTGTAGTGGAAGACGGAGGCCTGGTGGTACCTGGGCCCCACGCGGCAGGGGAAAGGGGAGTCATCAGCCGGGGCTTTGCAGCAGGAAAGCACTGCCCCACATGAACTTGTTCCCGCCCAGACAGGGGCCCCAAGGTGCTCTTGCTGCATGGCTGAAGCATTCCTGCTGCGATTTCTGCGAAGAAAGCGGCGCCTGGCCGCGTGCCCTACGCCAGCTGCGGGTCTCACATGCAGTAGATGCTGGACACGGCCATGAGAGCGTTGACCGCGAGCCCGCCACCCCAGGTCAGCACGGCAAACGCATAGGGCTGCCCCAGCAGGCTGGGGGTGGCTGTGGACGTCACCAGCAGGTAAACCCCGACCAGCCACGACGCGCCGCCGGCTGGTGCCACGAGATTGGAGGGTGGTCACAGGGCAAGGAGGGGCTGCTGTGATGAGGACTATGAGAGTCACTTGGGTGCGGTGCTTGCTGCTGCCTTTGAGACGGATCTCATCAGCGGCACAGGCGCGTGATTGGCTGGTGCGCGGTGTGTGAAGAGCAACGTGCGGGGGCGCAGCCGGCCAGTGAGTGCTGCAGCATGCATTCATCGACCATCCGGGATCGCAAAAAGCAAGCGGCGCCTTGCCCTGGCGCGCAAGTGACACTGGTTCACCGCAGGTGCACACCGCGAATGCCGCTGCGCGCGCTGCCCTGCGAGCTCCCCTCTGCAGCCTCCATGTCGTCCGCATCCTGACGTTTGTGCTGTACAGCAGACATCTAGTTTCTATGGTTATGTGGGTGCTTGTCCGGCTCCGTTGTTCGCAGCGAGTGTAGAGAAGTCAGTGGGACTTTTGGGTTTGATTGTTTGGCCATCCTGAAAAACTGTGACCAGGTCTCTTATTTTTCATCCCTCTGGACGGGGCAGGAGTGATCATTGTTCCCCAGCTGGGGCACCGGATTATCACACTTGCTGCCGGAGTCCTCTCCTTGCTTCGTCCTATCTATAACGCTGCATTAAGCGAGACAAAATTTTAAGCAGAATGTTGGCTCGATGTGGCGGTTCCAGCTTGGGCGCTGCCGGGCGGGCAGTGGACCCGCAGCGCGCAAGCACTCGCTGCGCAGTCGCGGCGACAAGCACGCCGGTCGCTCCCCTGAGCAAAGAGCAGGCGGAGCAGTTTTGGGAGGACGGTGAGCAAAGCAGCCGACGCCTGTGTCCCAGCAAATGCGGTCGAAAACATGCACAAGGCTTTCGGCGCAGCGCTCGCACGAAGCGCCCTGAGAACCGGCTTGTGCCGCAGCGCACCCCCGCCAAGCGCGCCCCGCCGCCCCACGCCCGCGCCGCCGCCGTAATTGTTACAACCACCCATCGCAGGGTTCCTGGCCGTTCCAGGCTTCGCATCAGCAGAGGAGGTCGCGGCCATGCGGCGGCGCGCGGACGAGCTCGTGGCGGCGTTTGACCCGGCATCTATCAGCGTGTTCAGCACAAAGGACGATAACCAGGTCAGCGGGGGCCGGAGCGGCCCGCCCGCGGCCGCGGTCTTCGCGCAGTGCTTGAACCCAGCGCCGATGCCCCAGGCTCGCCCCTGTATTGCGAGGAGTTGCGCGTGCGCTCACCATGCGCTGGATCCAAGATGGCTGGCTGAACGGCCTGCACGCGCCGTGTGTCTGCTGATGTTGCGCAGGCCCAGTCGAAGGACCCCTATTTCCTGGAGAGCGCCTCGAAAATCAGCTTTTTCTTTGAGGTGCGTGGCGCTTCCAGGGACGGCGGCGGCGCGGCCGCGCGGCCCCGCCACGAGCAGCGGCGTCACGCCTGCAGCACGGCTGGCAAGATGCAAGTGCAGCCTTCGCAACGGAGAGTCCCGGGTCGCACACAGCATCACGCGCGGGTGCTGGGGGTGGCCAAGCAGGGCGTCCGGCGGCTGCAGCAGCAACTCGGTGTCCCGTTTCCTCGTGTTTCCCCCTGAACACTGCTGCCCTTCACGACACAAAACCACCCTCTTGCCTGGGCCCATCTTTGCTTGCTCTGCAGGAGAAGGCGTTTGACGAGCAGGGTCAGCTGAGGCAGCCCAAGGCCCTCTCAATCAACAAGATCGGCCACGGTGCGCTCCCCGACCCACCC